ATCCGAATAAAACTATTCTTTGGCACAAACAACCTATTTAATTAACATCTATATTTAAAACTAAATCGTCTGCTTTCTGAAATTACTGTTTTTAGGTAAAGTCGTCTACTACATGTCTATTATGTTTCGACTATCTTTCTGCAGTCTACTATCAAGAAACCACACGATTTGATGGATATTTCTCATCTCCGTAACACAACTGATCACCTCCATATATACCGTTTCTGAAAGCCGTGCTTTAAAAAAAATAGTAATAATTCATGACCAATACCTTAGTTACTTTCCTAGAACACACATCAGTTCAAAATAAAAAAATAGTAAAAATTGGTGCAAGTTTTTTAGCAGCACTTTTTGGTGTACAGGTATCCCCTTTTTAAAATAATGACCCGTACATCAATGCTACGTGACATTAAAAAACTATAATTTAAATATGTTTACTTCCTAGACCAATTGACGAGGAAGTATGGTAATCGTATAGAAACTAGTCTCTCGATATGTCTTCTCAAAGTTTTTCAATGAAAAATTTCCATCTATATCTCCCATTGTTTTAAGAAAACAAAAGTCCGCCACCAAAAATGGTTGTGTAGCTAATCCCTATTGAGAGTAGTGAAATGGGACTTTTGCAATTCACTCATGTAAGAATAGGGTTTTGAGCTACTAGCAAAGGGAACGCGTGAGCATCTTCTCTAAGAATGCTTCAAAACTGACGCCAAAATATACTAAGGCCGAAAATTACACTGATAAACACAGGATTTGTGACATGACAATTTTTGGGTGTATCTTATGTATTTTGAAACTCTTAAATCAAATCTGAAAACAGAATTTTTCTATCACCCACAGATATTCGCTACTTTTATGAATTACAATACGGAACATCTCATATTGCTGCATTTCTCGGTCTTTATGCGATGACGCACATATATAATGTTAAGACCTGTCTATTCCTGTTTATTATATGCGAACTCTGTGTTTAGAGAGTATATTGCGTTTATTAGTAGCAGCCGAGTCAGTTACGTTTTCTGTGTTGAATAGTACTGAGATGTTCTGAGTACTGTTAATTTTTGTTAAAACGATGTATTGTTTTTTGTTTATTGTGATCGAGACTAGCTTTATGGACAATGCCTAGAAATTGTGTAAATAGTGCGAACAGTTTTTGTTCGGTGTGCGGAGAGCTAACTTTTAAATCCCAAAAACGTACTTTTGCTCCTCTTGTGTTATTTTGGAATTAAAGTGTGCGACCAAGATAAACTATGCGCCCCTCATATATGTTGTAAGACTTGTGTGAAATTGTTAACAGGTTGGTTAAGAGGCGACAATCGTAAAATGCCCTTTGCGGTACCAATGGTTTGGAGAGAACTACCGATTGGTTTTTTTTCCTCACAAATATTAAAGGTATTGGACCAAAATCGAAACATACTGTTAACTATTTTAATTTACCATCAGCTTTGCGATCCTTCGCTTGACCTGCCAGGACGTTCAACAGCGCCACATTTGATCACACAGGGCGAACTTAATAACTTAGTTCGAGAATTAAATCTGTCAAAATCACAGTCAGAACTTTTAGCGTCAAGATTAGAAGGATGGAATCTTCTCCACGGTGATGTTAAGATTACTTTTTACTGAAAACGGCAACAAGACCTCACACACTGTTTCCGTCAAGAAAGGAAGTTGATATATTGCTCCGATGTCAACAATTTGTTTGACGCGTTAGGACAGAAACATGATCCAAATGATTGGCGCCCTGTTCATTGATTCCTCTAAGCTTAGTTTAAAAGCGGTATTGGTACACAATGGTTATAATTATCCATCTGTACCTATAGCACACGCAGTTCATATGAAGAAATCATATGAAAATATGCGAGTTCTGTTAACGCATATCCGTTATAATGAATATGGATGGGCCATATGTGCAGATTTAAAGGTAATAGCCCTTCTTCTTGAAATGCAACTGGAATATACCCAATATTGTTGTTTTATTTGTAAATGGGACAGTCGTGCGCGAGATCGTCATTATGAACAGAAGGAGTGGCCACTACATCAGGTTTTAACTCCGGCCCTCAAAAACATTGCTCATGAACCTCTATTTGATCCCAAAAACGTGTTGCTTCCACCTTTGCATATTAAGTTGGGACTGATGAAAAATTTTTTGGAATGGAAGAGGGTTTCTGCATTTAAAACAAACATTTCCGAGACTTAGTGAGGCAAAAATTAAAGGAGGAGATTTGTGGATCCACAAGTACAGAAAATCATGAAGGATGACAGTGCTCTAAATGAAACTGAATTACGAGCTTGGAATGCTTTTAAATCAGTTACTGCAAATATTGTTAGTGAACTAATTAATGCCTATAAAGGAATGGGATGTAACATGTCTCTAAAAACTCACTTTTTGGATTATCATCTCGACTTTTTTTCCGGAAAATTTAGGTGCGGTAAGTGATGAACATGGTGAACGGTTCCACCAAGACATTTCTGCTATGGAAAAACAGTATCAAGGCAAATGGAGTGTCAATTTGCTTGCTGATTATTGCTGAACATTGTTAAGACATACTTCAGGAGCAACATACCGCCGTAAAAAATCGACAACAACATTCCAAGATTAATGTTTATTCGAGTGTTTATTAGTACCCTTACACACATGTCCTTATATACTAAGTAACATATAAATCCGAACACCCAGTTTAAATGGTTTTATTTCAATAAAAGTTAGTGAATGTATTTATCTTACTGTAAATAAAAAGTGAAAAAATGTTCAGCCTTATCAGTTGGACATTCCGGTTTTTATACTGCTTTTTTTTAATTCACTAACGCTCTAAAAATGAATATTTCAGCCGCAGTAAAGAATCAACGTTGGCGGATTTTGGTTCTTGACATCCTTTACGATCGGTTACGATGCCTAGAGTACGGAGACCTGTTCGATTTCGTCAACTTAGTGAGTTTGATAGGGGCCGTATAGTGGGACTTCGGGAAGCTGGACTTTCTTTTCGGGCAATTGCAGTTAGAGTGCAAAGAAGTTTAGACACTGTGGTTAGGTGTTGTCAGGCATGGCTTCGAGAAGGCCGTACGCAAAGAGCAAGGGGCACTGGACGATTATTCGCCCTAAGGGACCGTTTCTCCACTACCAGGTCCATTGCAAATGAATGGTTTGCAGAACACGGAAGACCTATTGCCATGCGAAGTGTTTACCGACGAATGAAAAGTTTTGGCTTGTTTTCATACCGGTCACACTGGGTCCTCCATTTAACTCGAGAACACCGACGTAATCGCCTTGAGTGGTGCAGACAACGGTCACTCTGGGATCAGGAATGGAACAGTATTGTCTTTAGTGACGAGTCTCGATTTTGTTTAGGCATGCACGATGGTCGTGCCAGGGTTAGAAGGCGACGTGGTGAAAGGAGGAATCCACATTTTTTTGTTGAAAGACATGTTCATCACACTGTTGGAGTTATGATTTGGGGTGCTATAGCTTATGGTTCCAGGTCACCTTTAATCTTCATCAGAGGTAACATGAACGTGCAGCGTTATATCCACGAAGTTCTGGAACCCCATCTTTTACCCTATCTTGACACCATGGCAGATCCAACTTTCCAACAAGATAATGCCCGACCACATGTTGCAAGAGTCACAATAGACTTCTTTCAACATAATGATGTCACATTGTTACCATGGCCACCAAGATCTACCGACTTATCCCCAATTGAGCACGTGTGGGATATGATGGGTAGGAGATTGCTCAATTTGCAACGTCCTCCTCAGACTCTAGAAGCACTTCGAGAGGAGTTGGTGGTTGCCTGGAATGAGATACCACAGGAGGACATTGACCACCTGATCAGAAGCATGCCTAGGCGCGTTGGAGAATGCGTAGCAGATCAGGGTGCATCCACACATTATTAAAGGTCAAAGGGCTTTAAAGCAGTGCAATCATTTTGAAATTTTTATCATTTACTTATTATACTTCATTAAGTACTTATACAAAATTTTATTAAAATAAAACCATTTAAACTGGGTGTTCGGATTTATATGTCACTTAGTATATTTTACGAGTAGAAGCAGCAAATAAAATGCCTTATTGCAAGAAAACCGTGGGTGATAGAGAAAATCGAATGCTATTTCCGGCTTTTTGGGTACGTTTTACATAATAAACACCTTGTTTTGTCCATGTCACAAAAAATATTTTAATTTTGTTCACCAGTGTTATTGTTGGATTTGAAAAAAGGACTACATGCCGTGGAGTTGCGAGCGAAACATTTCAGAACGGTTCCAAACTTCGTTCTTCGAAGTTTAGATCATCTATGAGCGCCATCATATTACCCAGGAGGATCAAATCAATTTTAAATCATCACTAATGACGCTTAGCTCTTGTAGCTAGAATGTTAAATGAATGCATGTCAATGCGTCGGAAGTACTGAGTCAATCTTCTTGAGTTCATTGTTTTTTATTGTGAACTTGAAGACACATGTATAAGACAGCAGTCGTACTGGTCAGTTCTGAATGTGTAGAGTGTAGCTTTGAATTAGATTTATCATAAAGGATGTTAATCATGTGTAAAGCCGCGTACAGACCGGAATTCCAACGCAAGCCAGGGCACATGTGCTTAGAGATTCGGAAGTGTTCGAATCAGTGACACACACGGCGCGAGCCAACATAATCCAACGGTTTCCAAGGTTCGATTGCGTTGGCTCCTTGATCGGTACATCAAAGGGAAGTTTGATTTGGTCTGGACAGGATTTGCTATGATTCTAGTTTGTCTGCATTGGATGAGAGGAGACTCGTTGCTCGAAATTAGCACCGAACTTAACGCGGTTTAACTCGAAACTAAATTTATGGGCGGACGAGTGCATTCCAATACCTCCCAACAACAAACGCCAACGTCACATGTGCTTGCATTCGTTTGCTCGGCTTTGGATTTTCGGTCTGTACGCGGCTTTACAGGAACGATTTCGGAGTCGTATGCGCGTTCAACTTCATTGCGAGTCAATTCAAAAAATAAAAAAGCTACTTACGCCGCCCCGTTTAAGAATCTGAAAAGCATGAAGAGCTCATAGGACTGACTGAAGCTGGATGCCACAATGCACAGAGCATTCATGAAGGAACTGACAATCAGAACCTTCTTACGGCCCAGCGAGTCTGCCACAGAGCCCCAAGTGTAGGCCCCTGCCATCATCCCGATGAAAATGATGGAGTTCAGCCAACCCTTCGTTTGAGTGTTCAAGTTTAAGTCGCACTGAGCGGATGGGAGAATGAACGACATCGAGATGACGTCCATCTCCTCCGAGGTGCTCACGAAGCCGCATATTGCTAGCAGTAGGTAGTGAAATTTACCATATCTGAAACAAAATTGTTTAATATTAATTTATCTCAAGAAGAGCCAGAAACCTGAAATTCAATTTTATACAGGGTGTAAACGTTATGATAGTCATTATTTAAATGGGTGATAGAGGGGGTTAAAAGAACCAAAATGTTTCGTATAACATGGGGGTCAATACGGCATTTTTCTTTAGAGAAAAGCGACTTTACAAGTAAAATAAAATCTGACAACGCCGCAATGCCCGACGCAAATTACAACGGAACGCAGTGTAAATAAAGATGGAGTTTGTTATTTTTGGCTCTTTGGTATTATTTCATTATTTGATAATGTACTCGTAAAATGCAAACAGTTAAAAAAAACGGACTTACCACTAACTGTCTCAGCGCTGCATGTGGTGTGAGAAAGTTTATTGAACGTATTAAAAAAATCCTCTTATAAATAGGGAACACAATTTTGATATATACATTGTTTTTCTTTTTAAAACCCACACTGCACTTTTTTGGTATATTGTATTGAAAGAAGGTGTTTAAAATGTCGTCCTCCACTTTCCACACAAGCTTCATTACGACGAACCCAGTTTCTTCTTACTCCAGGTCCTCGAAGTTGTCCATTTATTATTTCAGCCGCATTAAAATTTTTTTCGCGAAGTTGTGCTTCAGTTGTTATTGGACCAGCCCCATAAACCATCCCTTTAAGTTCTCCCCAATACCAGAAATCCATCGGATCCAGCGATTTGGATAATGTTCATTCAAATACTGAATGACGCCTCTAAAAATGTGTGATGGTGCCCCGTCATGAAGAAACCACAAATTCTGTCTCCGTTGTAATGGCGTGTTGTCTAAGGTCTGTTCCAAAAGTTCTGGTAGGTTATTGGCTTGAAAGCTAAGGTATCCTTCTCCTGACAACTTTGAGGGTAACTCGAAAGGGCCAATTACCTGATCGTCAAGAATACCCGCCCAAATATTTATTTTAAAACGTTGTTGGAAATGACCTTCACGAATGATATGAGGATTTTCTTGGGCCCACGTGTGAGTATTATGAAAATTTAATATCCCGTCTCGCGGAAAAGTACATTCGTCCGTCGCTAGAATGTTTTTAAAAAAATCCGGATTTTCAATGTTTTTGTGCAAAAACCACTGACAGAATGTTAGTCTGCGAGGATAGTATTCTGGTAACAAGGACTGCATTCGTTGTACATGGTAGGGATACAGCAAATTTTCCGGTAGGATTCTATGGACTATGGTATGAGATAGTCCTACGCGGCGGCCTAATTCCCGAGTGATGATATCCGCATTGATTTCCACGATATTTAAAATTTGTTCTTTCTTCTCTACAGTAACCTGTCTTTCACGAGTGCGAATATTAGTGAACACTTCCTGTTCCCGAAGTCGTTGGTACACGTGCACAAATGTCCTTCTGTCTGGGTGTACCCGTTGGCGAAATCTGTCGCGATAAATTTGAGCTGCAAGATTTGAATTCTGACGAGCTTCACCGTAAACCAGCAACATGTTGGCGAACTGTTGATTCGAGAACATTGTAAATAAACACGATGACGTACGCGAACAAAAACAAAACAACACGCCCGATGCTATGCAAAACGGTAACTAACCACTGTTACCGTTTGCGATCGGTTGCCGGTTCGATAAGAGTGATGAAAGACCGACGCGCTGTTGTCATGTGTGCTTTAGATATTTAATTTGATGAAACTTGCTTACTTACTGACTACAAATTTTGGCTTAACTTACAAAAACTTCATGCCATTTATTTGTTAATTACCTAATTTAGAAACGTTTTAGATTAGATTATAAAAATTAGTAAGATTGTGGTCGATATGAAGCACTTAAAGTTGTAAACTATAAAGTCATTTAGATAAAAATCTATTGACTTCTGGACCAGGGATCACATGAACTTTTTGACGTGTTTTGACCCGCCTATTATCCATTTCAATAATGACTACCATAACGTTTACACCCTGTATATGAAAAACCTAAGTTCGAAGAAACAAAAAGTAACCGCCACCGTTGAGATTTGAACTCAGGCCTCCCTGTTCTAAACAGACGCTTCCATAACGTAACCACTACCGCACGGGTATTGTGTAAAAAACCTATAAAACTTCAAAAAAAAAACCTATAAAATGTGATCTTGCAGACTAGGTAATTTTTAGGGTACAAACAGTCATTCCACGTTTGTTCACTAGGATCGTTGTGAGCGTCCATCTATGGAGGAATATCTCAACTACACGCATTGTTGGTTGCATATGTTTTGTGAAGCCGAGTATTGTGTGTATACAGGGTTATCCAAATTAAGTGTCCACCATTAGTAACTTTGTTATTAGTGAAAATACAAAGTTGTTTGAATTAGCAAACTAGTAGCATTTTTAACGCTGGTAAAAATGAGAAATAAAAAAAAACAATTGAGAGTCGTTATTTTGATTTTTTTCAGTAAAATAACATTTTTTTAAATGGAAACCCCTGTATATTATATTTTTTTCTGTTAAAGCATCAAATTTTAAACAAAAAAGCTTACAATAACTTTTCTCCTAGGTTACAAATTGTTGAAGTTATGGCCTCCAATCTGAAACAATTAAATTGTATCGACAAACTTTATTTTCAACATCAACTTATAATCTTACAAAATACAATAACAATTTTTTTTAAAGAAGATGCTCGAAAACACCACCTTGTTCTTCAATACATTTTTGGGCACGTTTTTCAGCTGCTCGAACTGTCTTAAGTATGGTCCTACCATCTATCTGGGTTATCTTTTCCCTAACTGCAGTCTTTAACGCGTCAAGGTTATCGTACCTTCGCTTGTAAATTTGGTTCTTAAAGTAACCCCACAAGAAGTAATCAAGTGGGTTTAGATCTGGTGATCTGGGAGGCCACTGTATTGGGCCATTTGTTCCTATCCACTGATCATTAAAAGTAGTACTTAGAAAATGATAAGTACCTCTGGAGTTGTGGGCAGGTGCGCCATCTTGCTGAAAATGCAGATGATGTCTACTTATAAGATCCAATTCGTCTAAGAAATTAGTCAGAATTTCTGACATAAATTCCACCAGTTAGGGTTCCCTCATAAAAGAACGGGCCAACAATTTTTGAACCAATTATACCGCACCAAACGTTGAAACTGAAACGGACTTGTGGGCCTCTTGGATGTACTAACAAAAGATTTTCTCTTGACCAATAATGGTGGTTTTTTCTATTAAACATTCCAGAATTTGAAAAATTTGATTCATCTGTCCATAAAAGGTAACGAAAGTTATTTACATTTTGGCGACAGAAGCTAAGATACCAATGGCAAAAAACAAGTCTTCTCTCTGGATCCCCTGCCAAAAGCGTTTGAACTGGTCGGTACTTATACGGAATAAATTTGTATTTTTTTTAAAACCTTTGAACAGTACCATAACTGAAATTAGAGTCCTTCAGAATATCTGCTATTGAATTCTCACGATAAGCTTCAAAATATCCAATAACTGCAATTTCCGTAGCCTCGCTTATTATGAATTCTTTTTTTGCCCTTGTTTTAGCAAAAACATTTTCGTTGCCCCTAAATTTTCGATAAAGTCTCAGAAAATATCGTTCATACGGTTGAATGCGAGCGGGATATAACTGTAGTATTTATTCTCTTGCTCTCAAGGAGGATTTTCTGCACACTAAATAGCATTCTAACATATCACACTTTTCTTCATGGGAGAACATTTTTCTTTAAATTAATGACACAATAAAGCTTATAAACAAGTATTTACACTAATGTTTGACATTATTTGATTTTATCATTGTTTTCCAAAGCCTTCTAGTTGCGAGTATGTCCAGTTTAACAATTTGTCGCTTATCTTAATGCTGTCAAATCGCGAACGCCATGTTGTTTTCATAGCCGTCTTAATATTATAATACTGCAAATAATTAAAAATATTTATCGTTATTTTGAATTTATTTTTGACTTTAGCGGAAAAGTCATTATGAACTTTTTTGTTTAAAATTTGATGCTTTAACAGAAAAAAATATAATATACAGGGGTTTCCATTTAAAAAAATGTTATTTTACTGAAAAAAATCAAAATAACGACTCTCAATTGTTTTTTTTATTTCTCATTTTTACCAGCGTTAAAAATGCTACTAGTTTGCTAATTCAAACAACTTTGTATTTTCACTAATAACAAAGTTACTAATGGTGGACACTTAATTTGGATAACCCTGTATTGGTCTGCATGTGTATAAGATCAGTGATATTTGCTGTGTGAGAAAATCATTACTGAATATGCTGTAAGTGAAGTATATCTATTAGTTTTGGGTAATTTATATGTTGTCTTTTCTGAAGACAGGTTATGTTCAAAGTTATAAATTACGTTTTTTTTACGTTTTTGTTAGCATTATATGACTTGTAATTCGACAGTGTATAGTGAATGTAATTATTTCTTATCCCTCTCATTTTTGAAATTCTGCAAATTTGCATATGTTATTTTCAGAATGGATAAGAACCTCAAGTAAGTGTATTTGAGAGAAAAATCCAATGGAATCATCATCAACACATATTACATACTAGCACACAAATCCTCACTATGCACCTATGCATTGCCGTTACCTCCAGTAATGCTATCTCTGAAGCAGATTTTACATCATATCAGCGCCAAAAATTTATAACTGAAGCCTCATGACGTTTAGGCAAAACGAGTTCACAACGTGTCCATCAGCTAGTTCTAAGCTAAGATCTTGTAGAAAAACCTACATAATGTCACAAAAAAACCAATATAATATTTCAAGATACCCGAGCCGTACCCCATGATTTGGAGGTCATGAGTTCGAATCTCATCGCTGAAGATTTTTTTCTTATGCTTAGATTTCCAGCCTACCTTACGAGTGATGTGTAAACATGTAATTTGAGAACTTCTAGTCCTCTGGAGCTACATTTCTCATTTCTCAAGGCTCCCCTGCATCCACTGTATTTGGATTCGATGCTAGCGTAAATTACCCTATGTTACATACAGGATAGCCCGCAATAAATGTGCCAATATGCCTAAGTCAAACTCGTAAAAATAATGATATCATGCCAAATATCACTCATTAAAGAGATTCATGATGCTGGAGTATAATTCGAGAAATTGTTGTTTCTTTATAGCTCAAGTTCTGTTTGGTGATATCGACTTCAAAATTGGGAATCGACGGTTCTAAAGATGAGATATACGTTTATATTCTAGTTTCCAGCATAATGTGTAGAAGGTGCCAGTTACAGCCTATGATCTCGCTATTTGATACCATAATTTTTTTATTAGCACCGTTCTGTTATCTTTTATTTAATTTCTAATAGTAAGGAATATTCTACTAATCTATTTCGATCAAACGAACCCTTTTCGATATCCCCATTTTTAAGTTCGTAGTGAAAAAATAAACATAGTCGCCCCCCCTAGACGTCTGACACTTGCGTTTGTAATCTAACACCATTGTGTTACTTTCTGACACATCATGACGACAGTGGCATATTAACTATAAGTTATAGCTATAGGAACTGAGCATTGCGATTTTTTGATATCCTTTGGTACTCCAAAGGTTGTTTTTCTTTGACATCACTTACGTTTACAGCGCAATTCTTACGAGTTATACGTATATACGAGTATTGTAACTCGTGACTAAGCCTGAGTAATATATTAGCTATACAGATTGCACTTGAAAAGTGATTTATGTTCTGTTTGTTGCTCATTAGTCATTTGAAAAGTGTGTGAAGATTGACTGATTTTGTGCGGGGTTGGTGTTGCAGCGAAGCACCATGTTAGATGAATGCCTAAATTGGAAATAGAAATTTATGAGATTTGTTTAGCGGTGTGCCTGTAGCATGTCCAGAAAATGCGTGTATCGATGCTACACGTCCCGCATATGTGTCTATTTATATTGCTATATTGAATTCGTTTAAATCTCAGAGTTTCTGCACCTCTCGTGAATATGTACAGCCCTGTATTCATGTTCTTGTTCCGTTCAAACATACATTATCAAAATAGTTACGATCTAACAAATAGTTATTTCCAAAGATTTACAACATTTTTACAAGCGATCAACACCGATTCAAAAACTGAGAAAACAACTATCCCGTAAATCTAAGTTCGACAACGAAAGCCTGAAGAATAACTGTAACATCTATACTGAATTTCAAAATATAATTGACTATACCTATTGATATCTTTATCACCTGCTGATATAACAGAAGTGCTTGATTGTGTCAGTATTAGCACCTTGATTTGCTTAATGGACAGTTCAGAGGCTTAATCCTTAAGCTTATTACATACTAGTAGACCCCGTTGCGCAATTTGTCTGGAGACGGTCTCAAGACACGATCTATAGATGGTCTGTCTTATAGACATCCTTATTTGTCTCGTCTAGCGTCCATACGATATTGTGAATTTTTCGTCTCATGTTCGTTTTCGCCATCAAAGACATTGTTTTGTGTGGAATGGACTGGGATATATCTCGGAGCCACTCAGAATATTTTATTTTTTATTCTGTTAACAGAGCAATGAAGTTTTTTATATTTTAATCTTTAATATTATTACACTAGGTAATTTAAATGCCACGTCCATATTTTGTTCTCATCTAATAAAACATTGCTTTTCTGAGGATTTCTGAGCATTTTCCATGTTTTTTTTTTCAAGCTGACATGGACCAAATAGAACACAATGGACTTAAGGAGCAATAGTAGGATAAATGATATAAGTTCCACTGAGGTTGAAAAATTACCAGTCCCAAATATCGTTTGCGCCCCCCCCCTAGACGAAATTCTAAATCCGCCCTTGAAAACTTGTAGTAATGCTTTTTGGTGCATCAGTTACGGACTATCCTGAATATTAACCCTAGTTAACCCATTGATGTACTTGGATGAAAGAGAGTAGCATAACCCGTCGTACGCCAATGCTAACGTCATGCGTCTTTGTTTACGCGCTAACAGGGAGGTACGCTACTCTCTTCCATTTTGGTGCTTGATTATAGCTTCATTCTTTGTGATTTTTTACCTGGTTAATTCGATGGCCTTCTCGAAGTCAGCCTTGTCACTGTTTCTGTCGATGTCCCCTTGGGCTTTGATTGTGGTAATGTCCTTCTGGTTTTCCAGACAGTTTAGCTCGAGATCTCTTGATCCACGGCCATTCAAGACTCGATCGTCTTTTACATCACAATCTTGCTTGTGTTTGTTAGGCGGTTCACCTTCTACCATTCTACGATGTAAACGGATTGGAGAATGATTTCTGGGAAGAGAAAAGTCGGAGGGTGCTGATTGGTGGGCGGGCGGGGGGCGGCTCAGTTTGGGCAGCGGGCGGGGGAGCTATGAAGAGCTCTGCAACAACAAAAGAAAATCATATACATTAAATAGGTTGACTATGCACTTCCCATCAGTTCATAAAAAAACTACGAACATATATAACAAAAAATTAAATGGATCAGATCAGTCAAACAGGCTCATAGATTTGAAATTTGCATGCTTAACATAATTTTGTGTATAATTGCGAGGATTTAAAGTCAAATAGACCGACAGACGGAAATGACTGACATGTTTTTTCCTGATGTAAATGTCATATAACAACTAATATCTCATTTTCGAAATTTTCCGCGATCACGATTCAAAAGCAATAGTGCAATCTCCAACTTATCCTGTGGTTCTCAAGTCGATAATCTCCCATATTTCTCTAGCCAATCTGAACCATTTACAATAAAGATTTTTTCAACACATACCGTTTCGATTGGCCAGAGAAGTATGGGAGATTATAAGCAATAGTATGTGAGATATCGAGTCGAGCTACGTAATACAAAGCTTATTCAAAAGACCACTACTTCAAATTTATGTATGATGCAATAAAATGGCGTCAAGTAGATTGACTCTATACTTCACACACCTTCCAAACGACTTCTAGTATAATTTCCTAGGTAGTGCAATGACATCAGAAAGTGGTAGGTTTTTTCGGAACCAGTAATGCACTATTTGAGGTTCACATAAAAAAACATTTCTTCAGATTGCAGGAATGAGCGTATCCGTACGAGCTTCATTTCTTTGGAGCTCTGGTGCTTATCAACAGTGTTTGATAACTGATTATGATAGCTCTTGATAAATACTTATATACCATATAATATTACACCACGAAATCAAATAACTTCATTAGATTTCACTCCTAGCATAACTCTCATATACAGGGTGTTCCTTAATGATATGCGAATATTTAAGGGTGTGAATCTGCATGAAAAATAATGTTAGTTTGCTTCATAAACTATGGTCCAAAAATGTTTCCTTACAAAAACTCGGGGTGTTGAAGTTTTAGGAAAAAAATGGAAATTAATTAATATTTTCAGAACCGCTTCAGATATTTCACAGTTAATAAAGTTGCATATTTTTCAATGCAGAAATAATTTTTAGCTTTAACAGTGGCGTGCGTACGGGTATTGACTTCGATATTTTTTAAGAAATAGAATGGTACGCCAATGGTTTTTTGCCAAATAAAAATTATTTTTGAATTGCCCGTTCAATTCAAAACAAATGATCTTTCTTGAATTGTTTTCCTTTGATGCGCGATTTTTGAGTAAAAAAATAAAAACCGTTCTATTGTCCGAGAAAATTAATGTAATAATTGAAGAATGCAATTTAGCAATAAATATAGGGTTGCTCTGGAATATGTCAGTGGCTTTTGACATCTGACAAGTCTCTGTTATTCAAATCTGTTCACTGTGACATCTTTTTCATTATATAATTTTTACAATCTTGTTAATAATGGTGATTATATGGCCTTTCCGACGGTAATGGTAAGCAAGCCAGACGGATTTATCACCAGAGATATCCCGATCGTGCTTTGCCAGATAGTCGCCCAGCAAAGTTGCAATATTTATAAATAACCTCGTAGCGCACGGTATATACGAGTGATAGCCGATCTGTCATAGAAGTAATCTTGTGTGAAATGTACCATACTTCCTCACCAGTGTGGCATGGGACGTAAAAAGAAAAGCAATGCGCCAAATATTCCTAACAACGCTACTGGAATTTCAGCCTACACGTGGTAAAATTTACGCCGCACGCCTATGGCCTGCCTGTACCTTTGCCGCCAAGGCCAGTCATTTCACTGGGCTCCTTGGGTGGTCGCAACATCTAGTGCCATAATTGGCAGATTTACATTGAAATAAGCATTTCTGTAAAATGTAGACATATAGCATAATTTTGTGAATTTTGTACACCTGGGAAGGTCTCACGTTTTGAAAATATTGCCGAAACATCTAAGACAAAATTAGTTTGTGTTTTCTTGTAATATGCTTTTTGGTTCTTCACGTGAGATTGATGTGCTCTAATAAAGCTTCGCAGAATTCAGTGTGCCAGCTATCGTTTCAATTGAGTTTTTATTTCATCTAATTATTCTTAATTGGAATGAAAGACGTATCGAATACTTTTAATTGGCAGAACGCGAAAAACTTAACCAAACCGTCCAACGCAATATAAAAAGTATTATCTGTTATAATCAACATCAAAACAAAGCTTAATGTATCAAACACCCTATCTAGGAAGTACGGACGACAGAATAAACTGCAAAGTACTGCGACTCACGTGCTTTGACGTCAAATCATGATCGTTTTATCACCTCATGGTATGTTCGTATGGGACAAATATTGAATTTTGAGCTAGTTAGCTATGATCAATTGAGCTAATATTTCATATACATTTTAGATTGTCATGACGATACACAGTGAACAAAATACCTCCATTTTGAATCCAATATGACGGATGCCACAAAATCGCGATTTATCATATCCATTGTAGCGCCTATGACATGGGTATCAAATAAAATGGTTGATAAAATAAACATGATAAGCAAAGCGATAATCATCATAAATCCATCGAGTTTGATTCTTTTTGACAAGTTCTCTAGTCATTGGGTCCGATGATTAAATTACTTGACTATCATATAAAGCATTATGCACCACGACATTCCCTAAGCCTCGAGCTCCGCCATTCTAGCAAACTTGAGTATAGCCACAATCTCAGCTCATTAACATTCAGAGGATCCAAAGTTTTGGAAAATAGTGGTGCTATTCGCGGAGAGGCAGAGAGAGCCTAGTCCTAGGCCCTCATCAGTAACCTAGCCGTTCGTGTACCAGACCTGCCCACTTCCTTCAGAGACCTTCCAGCTTCCGGAGTCCCATTCCGCGCTCGTCGGATACTCCACATTAATCTTGCAGTTGAAGTAATATTTAGAGGTGATCAGATCAGCCCTGCTGAGAAAGAGGGGATCCTCCCTTTGCCATTCGACTAAGATGGAAGTGTGACCCTTGACAGGATTCACAAAGGCCCAGCTGCCCTGACTACATAGCGACTACTCTCGCCTCTCCACGGATCACTAGACACAATGATGGGAGATCCATCAGAGCTTCCATTGCACTGAATGAGCTTGTAATACTGGTACAATCCAAACGCTGAATTTTATTGAGTTTGGCCTTAGTTGTCTTGGTTCAGTGCACCACTTTGGGTTTAAGTCCCCATTTCACTCCCACAACACGTCTGCAAGCCACAATGAATTGCGAGTCTTGTTAACCTTGTAATCAACATGCTATTTCCAATTCAGTCTACAGCCCAAGATAATTCTTAGATATTTTACTGATTGGGATAGAGCTAGTCTAGTCCCAAAGAAGGTCGGCAAGACAAGCCCGTCAAGCTTCCTATTCCTAGTGAAAAGAATCAGCTTGGACTTTCCAGCGTTGACAGAAAGATCCTTAAACGTTACTGAAAAAGCTTAACATAAACAGCTAATATTATGACAGCTGCCGAAGGGTCTGTGGAAAGAACTGGGGAATGAAGCATAAACAAATGTTTTGGCTTTATACCATGATTATTAGACCTATGATAACCTATGGATCTCTAGCTTAGTGGGGCAAGGCAGCACAGAGAACTGTCCTGGCCAAAGTGAGCGCAATACAGAGAGGAGCTCGTATGTTGATCACTGGTGCCTTTCGTACCACACCAACTGCAGCTATGGAAGTCTTTCTTAATTTAACCCCCTTGCACATATACCTGGGAGGCGAGGCAAGAAGGACATCTTGTAGACTACATCATGTGGCAAAAGGTATAATGGACAATATCACTATGGAGGAGACGGAGATGCTGGTGGACTTACAAATCCACCACAATCTGGGAATGCCTTCTGATATAATGCCAAAAATAACAATATATCCTAAACCCTACTCAGTGACAATTCCACGCAGGAATGAGTGGGGACAGCAAGTTAACCTAATAAGGAAAGATATCTGTACATACACAGATGGCTCCAAGACCGAGGTAGGTGTTGGAGCTGGCTTCATCATGCCGAAGCTAAAGATTAAAAAATGTGTTAGCCTAGGAACCTGGGCATTAATCTTCCAGGCAGAGCTATATGCTATAGAACTGGGTGCTAGAATGATCGCAGAATGACTACTGAGACACAGAACTATGATTGAAGAAGCTCTCGGTGGCATAGGGTAGGGAAATGAAGTCCGTCTCATATGGATACCACGACACGCAGGTCTAGAGAGAAACGAGACAGCTGACACTCTGGCAAAGAGTGGGGCTAGCACACCCTTCATAGAGCATGAGCCAGTGATTGGGATCGCATACAATACGGCTAAACAAATAATCTTTGCAGAAATGGACAGAAAGATCCATCAATATTGGGAGGGACTAGCAGGTTTAACCCATGCTAAGGCAACTATATCAATCTTGACAAAGAAAGTAACAGATTATTTGCTACGTCTGAACAGGAATAGCCTCAAAGCTCTAGTAGGACTGTTCACTGGTCACTGCAAATTGCGTCCCCACATGAGCAGGCTGGGCATGGAGGAAGACGCTGAGTGCAGACTGTGCATGGAGGGAGATGAAACGGTCAGGGATGTATTGTGCAGATGCCCTGCAATTGCCAGAATCAGGTACAACATACTTCGAGACGTAGAAGATCTGAAGGTTTCTCCAAACAAGTTAATCGACTTCCCCAGGAGGTCGGAGCTTCTGGGGGAAATATAAATAGGTGTGAGCCACAATAGACCAAAGAGTCGCAGTGGAGGATCGTTATTGATGCACTCACAAGAAACCTAACCTAATATTATGACTGACAATAACCGTCACTTTCAAAACTGTGTTGAATTTTGGAGGGGTCTCATAAGAAAGCCAGAATCTTCTCGAGAGGTTAAAAAATAGTAATAAACAACTATAAAGGTCACCCATGTATTGCATCTTTCAGAACGACAGATCCAAATGTCGCTTATGATTTTTAGTAGAAGCTTTGATTAAGTACTTGGAATAGTACTTTGCCTAATACCGGTAGTGAAGTGAACCCTTACCTCCTTGTAACTTAAAAAATAATATTATATAAGAAGACGTTTACACTTGTTAAAAGATGGATTTGTAATCACTCTTTATCAGAGATGGATCTATTATTAGTAAGATAATTAGAATGTTCTCAGTATTCATCTGAGTTAATAATTAAATAATTATTAAGTTCACTAGAATAATTATACCTCCGTATTTGTACAGCCTGTTTTCATTCAGATCTTCATGACATATCGCTTAAATATTTTATTCTGCAATTCCATATGAAGCCTGCAGGCTTTTGAACGAAGGCCATAATATCCGTCTATCATAGGATTCTGCTCTATCAAACGTCGTCAAGCCAAAT